CGACTGCTACCATCATCTCTTGTGCTCCCTCCCCCCTGCCTCACCCCCCTCCTCTCCACTCCCCCACCGCGGCGCTGGAGCAGAGCCTGCGCTAACGAGCTCAGAGCCCCTTAGTTTGCTCTCTGTTTCGTCCCGCACCTCGGACACTGCTGCACCCCAGCAGATGGGAACCAGGGCTCTACCCGCCAAAAGCCAACGATTTGCTAAGAGCTTGTTCAAAGGGTTTCAAAGGCACCGCTGTCTCAGCCTCAGACCTCTGGATGGCTTCCTGCTTGCCGCACAGCAGCCCAGGTCAGCAAGGTCTCTATCCCCCTAGAAGGAAACACTGACACATGCCTTCCTGATGCCCGCCTCGTTTCTAAACAGCTAACATACAAAACGGCATCTTGTTAAAGCCCAGTTACACGAAGTCTCAGCGCTGCGCACCCCCTTCCTTCAATCCGTACCTCCTACACACACTTCCTCGTTTCTTCACTCAGGGAGTTAACCACACTTCTTGTTCCTATAGCAAAACGCACTTACCTACAGCGATTCCAGGCGGACCTCCCATCAGACCCCCAACAAATGCTGTTGCACCCGCCAGCAGGGCTCCTCGACCAGAGTGTTTGACAGCAGCTTCCATCCCCTTCGCCTGAGAGAGACGGCAGAACAGTTGCATCACATCATCAACACGGATGGGCATCTTGGCAAGTTAAGGTCCTGGAAAAGACGTTTTACATTATCTTTTGATGGCAGCTAAACAAGTTCAGGAGCTTATGAAACTAAAAGAACAGAGGCACAATTAATATAGGAAAAAAAAAAAAAAGACTTGCTTTCTCTTTTGTTTCTGGGAAAGCCAAACCTCTTTCCAAGCAGCTAAAAGTTATTGAAACTGCTAATAAAAACCACAGAGTAGACCAGAAAAACGTTTTTAAATTAAATACTGTGAAAGCGAAAGCGAAAGCTTTCTTTTGCACTAAAATAGCTGACCCCAAATCATCCGTGTCATTGTACTATCCAAGCACTGCTGACACTGAACAAAAATCTGTGTTTTGGGAAGGCACCACATATGCTCCATAGCTGCAGAGAGGCACAGTAGGAAATTCATCAAATAGCTGCATTTCTCTCACTACTTCATTCATCCTCGTGCCAGTCTAAAGGAAAACATCAAAGCTCTTCCTTTTACCACCGTTGCTTTTGGGTTTTTGGCAGGCTTATGACACAGTAGCGTATCAGGATGGCAGCGCGTGCTGGTTAGCGACAGCAGAGTGACACGCTCTGCTTCCAGAGTTATATATTATCTCATTCAACACGATTCAAGCTCAAAGTAATAAACAAATGGCTGCTCTGTTCATCCTGGAGCAGGAGGAAGTAAAAAAAAAAAAAAAACCCACAACAAAATGATCACACCGTACCCAACCCACTGAAAGTCCTACTAATGCAAACAACCAGAGAGGGTCCCCAGATTCATCTGTGGTGTGAACCTCAGTTCATCTCTTTTCTATTTAACATTCCCATCGCATTATCCTACTTCCCCCTTCACAGAATGACGACTTTTGACAGGCAAAAGCCATTTCATCCCCTGGGTTCACTGTCCCACTTACAGAAAAACAAACACCCTCCCAAATGCCCACACAGGAGATATTCTAACCAGCACACGGCCTGGCCCACAGCCGAGCTGTCCTCACTGCTCCTTACAGTCTGCTATCGAGTTAACTGAGTAGACTCTTCAGTAACCATCGCTACCATCTGCAGGTGCACAGAACAAAAATCCCCTACAGGACAAACTCCAAACCTACCAAGCAATGAAGACATAGGTCTAAGTCGTCTTACCAGGAGCTAACTTGATCTTGGTGGGCCCCATATGGTGATAAGCAAGAACGTGGCGTGAGAATCTCCATACAATCGCTAGAAAGCAGACACATGAACTGCGTAGCTCTTCAAGATGCAACTTCAAGACAACAGCAAATACTTCTGCAAGCAGAGATGACCAGGAGATAACCCAGGACAATTTCTTCTGCCTCAGCTGTACAGCAACAGCTCTATCGGTAATGCAACCTTTTGTACTAAATACCAGGTCAGCACCAGAGCAAAACCAAATGCAAAGCACTCGGCAACTGAGGCAGACGAAAGAACACAATTTCACAAACAACAGCGTGCACAAAGGTCTGACTTGATGCTTCAACAGGCCAGAAGTCCATTAACGACTTCAGTAATAGCTGGTGGGCAGGCAGGGAATCAAGATATTCCTATCTGCAAAGGACAACCGTCTCATCGCTGGGCCATACGCATATGCTGGCCTAAGCAGCATCTGTGCTCCGACACCGTCGCTTCTGAAAATCCTACCCTTGGAGCCCTCAGCGCTCAGCCTAGTATTTAAAATCCGCCAAGCAGGTGGCTTCATCGGCATCAGCGGCCAGAAGAACTTTGTTTCAATATACCAGTTTTAACCCTGCCCTGCATTTGTGATTTTCAGTTATTTTCCTCAGGCAGGGTTCGCTCCTACTTATTGGTCTAAAGATTAGAACATGCTGATTGCCACTCCTTATCTCTGGATTTGGCATTCTTCTCTCCCAACGGTGAGGATTCACTACATCTACAAATATTTATTGCAAGAATACAAGCGTGTTGCTGACTATATAAATCGAACGCTTATTTTTGAGTTTCAATTATATTAGAAGATGGTAAGAAACTCATCCATTTGCTAGACAATCCAAATTCAACCGAAATGTGTAAAAGAGCATTTTAATATTGTTTGGTAAGAACTGCGACCTTAACAGCTTTGCTTACTTTCTTCTTTTGTGTATTTACCAAAGCATGGAGATTTACCAAAGCATCCAATTGCTTTACTTAACCAAAGAGGCAACAAATTTACTCATTACACAAACTCACTCCTTCTAGGAACCAAGGAGCTGATTTTACAAGGCTCTTGGATGCCTAAAAATGCAGGTAAACACTCAGTGGGAATGATCTCCTTCCACCGAGATGAAAGGAAATCTGGGACCTAACCTGCCTAGGCACTGACGATGTCCTGCTTACCTGGACTGGAAAGTTACTCAGCACCTGCGAAAGACTGGCTGCACGTCCTCCAGCCCTTGAAACCTTTTCAGAGCTACTCACTGTCTTTTTAATTGATAAATTAAGGGCGGAAATTTCTTTCAGTTCCTAGCCAGCTTCTCCCTTTTGAACGCAGTATTTGAGAAAGAAAGAGTTGCAGGTTGCTTGCGTCGGCTACCTGCTACTGAAGCCAAAACGATCGCTTTCCGTTAAGAAAGTAAAGAGAGCCAACACTTGGAGAACACAGAAACAGCAGCGCTTCTTCCCCTGCACAGATACTTGGCACGGTACAGGGCAGTGGTCTCTCCAAAATCTGAACTAAGCCCCGAAGTTCAAGATGCTTTCCCTGACTCACTACAAAAACATCAACTTGAGCGCATTAAAATCAATCCACGGGTAGTGCGTGTGTGAGCGAGGAGTCGGAGCTGGGCACCCATCAGCTCAACGGAGCTGCTCGCTGCGAAGGGACTCCGTCCTAGCAGTTACAGTCTCGGGTGGTATGTGTGCGACTCCCTGGACGGTGGGTGAATGCTCGGGCGGCTGCTGCTCCCAAGACACAGACACAAACCACTAAAATGCAAACAACAAAACCATTGTGGGGTCCCATGCTCATTCTCCCTGGGTAGTTATCTGTCAGGGTCTCCTCAATCAGAAGTGGTTATTTCGTAATTCTCCTATGTCCAAATTCACTTGAGATGAACACTTGAGCTGGGTTCTCTTCTTGTTCTATTACCAGCAGTGAAATGTGTTTCAGACCAAACTGCAAACCTATTGCTACCACTTTGAAAATAGGTAGCTGCCACCTTCCAAGAAGTTCCATGAGCATCAAACCTGTTAAACAATGACACAAAGAACAAACAGAACTCAATTCACTTTTTCCTGGTTCTACTTCAGTCATCTGAAAAGCTATGGAAGTTGTATTTGTGGTATTGAGTAAGAGTGCGCTACTCTGTAGCACAGAGTCTAAAGCTTCTGGGGAGGCTCAGGGGCAGTGGGGTTTAACATAAGCTAGACTGGTCCACGCACAACTCAACTACTTGGAATAAACTTCTGTTGGCACCCATATGATACAAGCCCCCTTCATACGACAGTGAAGGCTAAAAGATTGTAATTAAAACCAGTTTAACATTTCTAAGTGTATAATAAAAATCATTTGAAAGAATACCCTAAGAAACAGAGTAACATAGAGTCCAGAACTAGGACTCACATAGTTCAAGCTCCGTTCATGGCTATGACACCGACACAAGTGATAAAAATCAATTCACTACCTATGTTTGGGCTCCAATTTACAAATGCCTGCAAAACGGGCGTCATGATGCAGGTCGGAAACCACTCTGAGATCTGCTCATGATCTGCTGAAATACCGGATGCTCTCATAAATTAATTGCAACCAACATCTTTCCTGGGGCCTGCTTTACAATCAGATGTCAACTTCTTTCATCATGGGTCCAAACACCTGATTGTAAGACGGCAGGCTCCAACCTACTGTATCATTCAGTCATCTGCTGCTTTAGCAGTGTGTTTTTTTGGAAAGCGTGAATTCAATTTGGGAAATCACCAGCACATTGCAAATAAAAGTAACCGCCTTCATTAAAATAGTATTTTCACGTGGCTATACAGAGTAGGTGAAGTCTTAAACAGCCAGGTGCAGTGTGTGTCATGTGGCAATGAAACTGAATGAACACTGATTTTAGGCTTGGCATTACGGAACTATGCCAGGGTAAGGAGTGCCTGCCTGCCGTTCGCTTCCACCTTTCGCAGATGTCTTTGTTCACAAAAAGTGTTCTCAAATGGTGAGAAGAACCATCGCTGCGCTGCGCTCCAGACAGGAAAGTACACTGAATTAATTAATGGCAAATTGTACCTGCAGCAGTAAATTAATCAAATGCATACCATAGCAACTTCTGAGTTGAAAGCTTCACCGCTTAAAACGCAACTACCAGGAACCTCACCACACACAGACAGGTAAATCTTTATTTTGGGGGGCAAAGGCAATTAGGACAGCAGTTTCACTTGGTTTTACATACAACAAAGGCACACCTGCACATTTTTCTACTTACGAACTTGTCTTACAAGCGCCTGGAAACAAATGCTGAACAACTGGTTGGGATATCTGGTAACCTTGCATTTGGGGCTTACAGTGTTAACTGCAGCCAGCATGTCACCCCACACCACCACCACCGCTGCTGCCAGCTGCTGGCTGACCAGTACAGGGCTGCCTTCTTCCTCAAATTTCAGAACGTAAAGCGTTCATTTACTTTAAAGCAAGTAAGTAAGGATTGAGATCGTCGAGTTCACAGTAGAATAACGTACTTCATTATAACTTTCTTTTGCGGGACTCAAACAGACGGTAGGTAAAATTCTTCAAAGTGCCCTACCTACTTTGGCACCTATACGTCAGTCAGAGAAGAAACTTAAAGCACTTACACAAACAGCATTAAATCTCCTGAATAAAACACAATGACTGAAAATTTTAACTAGTGATACATTAGCGTAAGAGAAGCATAATTCCCTTCAGTTATTTTGAATTCAATCCTAGTGCAGAGTAATTCAAACTTACATAGCAAGTCAGTGTCAGGATAATGCAGTAATCTAATACTATCCTTACAATACAAAACAAATCGACCAAACAAACAAAAAAGAAAA